TGTGTCCGGCAACGGATCGCAACCCTCCGTGTCGCGCCCGTACCGGACCGGGACCGGCAACAGAATCGCAACCCTCGGTGTTGTTCCCGCACCTTGCTCAGCCAGTGAGCGGGAACCAGTCTGTATGTGGGATCCGAACCCTCGGCAGGAGCGCCGCCGTGCTCCCAAGTGGCGCACTGTAGCAGTGCGCCACCAGGCCGGCCCTTACTATATCCATTTTTTGACTTATCTATCTATCATCCCTGTATCCGTCCATGAAGCCATCTTATTTTTGATGTATGAAATAGAATTTTGAACAAACTTAGGAAAGATAAACAACAAATGTTGATATTTTAAAAGGTTACTAATGTTTGTCCCGGGCACAGGCATTATCTATGTGCATTCGTAGTTGTTATGTGAACAGGTAAAGGATGAGGAAATAAAGAGAAAACCATAGAAAATGGCAGAGACCCAGGAATTTGTAAGAGAAATTTGCTTTATTTTGATCTCCTGGAGTCCTTCACAAATATTTTTTTAACTATCCCATAAAATAGGTGATCTATTTTTCTTCTATAAAAATGTATAAAAGCAAAAGAAAAATAATCTGTAAATAAACCACACTGCTTTTTACATTCATCGGATATGGAGAAGTTTATTAAATATAGGCACAATGAAAGAAATTATTCAAGCTGAAAAAGATTTGCCACAAATCCCTTTCCTGAACATTTTGTTTTTGTCATTTTAAATGCCCTTAAGATAGAAAATGACAGGTGATTTTGTGAATTTTCAAAGTTTTTGTTTGCTTGTTGGTTTGTTTTTGGTTAGGAAAGACATCCAAAACCGTGATTAGTAGCTAGGACTTTGGGCCCCTTCATTCCCCAGCCATGAAATAGTATTCTGTGTCTGAACCAACCATGAAGGTTAAATAGATGACTATTTAACAAGTACATTAACTGGCCAGTAACAGATGTTTAAAAAAATTAATAGCCTGGGGCCGGCCCAGTGGCGCACTACTACAGTGCGCCACTTGGGAGCGCAGCGGCGCTCCCGCCGAGGGTTCGGATCCCACATACAGACCAGTTCCCGCTCACTGGCTGAGCGAGGTGCGGGTGCAACACTGAGGGATGTGATCCCGTTGCCGGTCCCGGTCCGGTACAGGGGCGACACTGAGGGTTGCGATCCGTTGCCGGGCACAAAAAAAAGACAAAAAGAAAAAATAATAATAAATAAATAAAAAATAAAAAAAATTAATAGCCATACTTAGGCCATAATGACCTGCCAGTCAGAATGATCTACGGATTCTCAAAATTAGACCTCCATCTCTTACACAGACAACTTCATGAAGATGTTGTTACTTTNGGTGGTGGTTTTTATAGTCTCTTTTTTTATTTTCAAGAAAACTACAATTATTCAAAATTAAATTTTGAATTCTTTGCAATGGAGATACCAAAATGATTATAATTGAAACTGTATTGCACCCTGTAACTACCAAACATTTCTCCAGAAATGAACTCATCAATTAAATCACTTGCAAACATTTGCATTCCTTTTGTTTTACACAATATTATGAATCATAAAATTATGTTCTTAAAACCCATTTTCAGTTCCCTGACAAGCCCAAGGACAATCTAAATAAACTCTATATTATGGATGTTCAAAATTTTTCACTCATTTCCATCCTGGCTAAATTTCAAATTATTATGTATAGATTGATATATTGACTTTGTAATTTAGCTTTCCCAGTTCAGGAATGCTTTACTAAATAGAAAACTTTTACAAGGTTCGATATGAAATCTACTTGAAGTTTTGAGATCTAAATAGATCTCAATATTTCAAACACACAGAAAAGCTAGAAGAATTGTAATGTGGAGACTCGGCCACTTCCTGGATCTTACCATTATTTTACTATATCCATTTTTTTTTTGTCTTTTTTTGTGTCCGGCAACGGATCGCAACCCTCCGTGTCGCGCCCGTACCGGACCGGGACCGGCAACA